TGACGGGTGTGAAGGCAGACTTAGCAATACAGAAAATACTACAGATAAAAATCATAGTAACAATCTGCAACAACACTGCACAGCCAAGCACTCCAAAATGCAAATGTATGTACTTCAGGAAAATTTAATTTGTTATGGCTGGTCTGATTGCTATTGCTCAATCATTTGGCAATCCTAAAAAAGAAAGAGAAAAAAAAAAAAAAGAAGAGATGGTAAAAAAAAAAAAAGCTGTGCCTAAATACAGTTATGCCACTAAAAGACAGGCACCCCAACCCTTTTTTTTTTAATAAAGAGGGTGTGTATATGCATTATGATACTGTATTTACGTGATGACAGAGTAGTACTTCCACAGAATCCATTTAGGTTACTTAACACTGAACCCACTACAGTTCCTACCACCACTCTTCCTATAATAAAAGAACCTTCGGGATGGGTACAGTGCTAAATAAAAGCAACCCCACAAATCTATCCTGCACCTTTGGTGTCTCTTCTCCTCCAATCTTAAACCAGTACCTATTATTTTCATTTGTACATCATGTCTAAATTTAGGACAGATCTCTAGTCGTTTACACCAGCTGATCTAAGATCCAGCCCTTTGAACCTAAGTTTTATGGGACATGTATAATGGACCTAGATCCATTAGTTGCCTATGTAGCCTTGAGACCACTTGGAGCAGCCAACGAATAGCAATAGTCCCCAGGTTTATTTCCTCCTTTAACAAGGATTCCTTCCGCTGTAGTATCTTGGCTAGGAGAAAATCTCTGCTACTTCTGAAAGTTGACTGGGGAAAACCATAAAGCACCATCTTATATTTGAGAGGTGCAATTTGTTTCCCAGTGACTTATTTGCCACAGAATTGGTGACAAGTAAGTATACCTTCTGGTACAGTTACTGTGCGTGTCTGGCCCAGCCTAGTCATTCCGTTTTGAAAATGAAATGGCAGACATGATTCCAGGATGAACCCAGTATATCACTAAAAGTACAGAAAAATGTCTCCTTCAAACAACAAACAAAATGTTATCTAAACTTACTTTTGTTTGCCAACCATAGCCAATTCTTCTTAAATTAGTATTTACTATGATGGTATTGGGAATAAGAAGGGTGGAGCATTGAGCATGACGCAGGAGAATTATTGCAAAATCTGCATTTCAAACTCCAAATCTGCTGACAGAGGAAAATCACTGAAGTGACAGTCACTGGAGAACAATAATGTATAAAACAAGACAATGTCATTTTGATTTGATCTGGACAAAGATGAAAAACCTGCATCTGCCTCTCCAATGACACAGAACAGATTTTTCCTGTTGGCATTCTATTTTACATATATTCTCAAAATATGTTTTTCAAATACCAAGAACAGTCATCAATCTACTCTTTGCAATAAAAACCTCCGCTGGAGACAGATGAAATGACAGAACATATCTGAGGATACAACAAGTTCAGCCAATAGAAGAACAATGCTGGCATCTAAGGAGTTCAAGGTTAATTCCCTTTCTGGAATTAAACAGCAAATGGTACCAGAGTCCAAGCAGGAACTGGGAACAATGCCATGACCGATGCTCTGTTTTTCCTCTATAGTGATCTAAAAATAACCTTTTTGGACGACTGATGAGAAAAACACCAGCCTGTAAAGCCATGGATACATATTTCACCACTCCTTTAGCCAAAACCAAGGAAACTCAAGATTGAAGAGAGGGTCTGAAACAAATCAATGCAGACACATTCACTGTAGTGTGTTTTCTTTTTTCCACAGTTTTAGTCTCAGAGGAGAAGAAAAACATTAGAAAGGAGCTCAGCGTTAACAGTCACATTGCCAGATTATAGGTTGTGAGTTTTAGCACTATTGTGTGTACTACAGCACTTCTCCTTAAACAGCACATACAAAGAAAAAGGATACCTTCTCACATCAGCTTCATAAGCCCAAACAATGAGGAATAAAAGCCTTTCATTTCCAAGTCACTTGTTTGAACCTAGCAGAGTTCATTCCGAAAGACAGCTAAGAGGTACCTTCCCTTCTCGTTCAGCTGCCACCTCTTAGTGTTCTTCGTTTAGGGGCAGAATCCCAGACTGCCAAAATCAATGGCAATGACTGCAATTAATCCAAGGTACCAGTTTGAAAAGAACTTCTCTCCAGTGCTTTGACAGGTTGTGTTCCCTCTTCTAAGTGTATGTGTTGATGTTAGAAGAAAAAAAAAAAAACAACATACCACTCCACTCTGAAGTCTCTCTCCCCAAAGGGCAACTTCAATGGCTAGCACAAGAACTTACGCCGTAAAGAGATTTCAAAATAACAAAACAATTCTCAGCCTGTATTTATTTACACTTAGGAGAGTACCCAAAGAGGACCTAAATCAAATAATTTAATATTTAAAACAAAACAAACAAAAAAAACCCAAATAAACATCTTACTTTTCCCACCTGTAGACAGCATTATCTTTACTTAAATACAGCTTAAATACAAATTAATTTACATAATGAACCTCACCGTAGGAAGCTAAGTAAAGGATTTATGAATGTGGCCAAATGGTGAAATGAAAACATGAATACCATCATTCCACCGTTTTCAATCTCACACTGAACTTCACTTCATAGTTTATATTAAGACCAAAACTGATACAACATTCATAAAAGACCAGAGTTGTCATCAAATCCAAAGATGATGAAGACATCTTGGCAACAGACAAGAACAGAATGATATGATAATCAAAGCAGCATGGACATTTTGTGCCACTATTATTCCATCACCATATCCTGGTATCAAGTTACTTTGAATAAAAGCAGTAGGATGCAGTGCCTGCTCTTATTTTTACCTGTGTAAGACTAAAATTTACATTTCAAAAGCAACATGCAAAGCCAAAATAACTTTTCAGAAAACGTAATCTTTCTCTTCTAAGTAAACATTTTCTCTAGAGACAAACTAGAAAAAGATGACCAATATTAAAGTGAAGCAGTTGATAGATGCAGTTGATAGATGATTCAACTGCTTCCTGGAAAATAATTTTCAGTTACAAAATGTTCAAGTCAGTTCAGGATTTTTAATTCTTTGCAATGTAAGACAAATATATATTTTTAGGGCTAAAAAAAAAATGCAGTATCCCAACAGCTACAAGGAGGCAAATTCCAGCAAGCCATGTGCAAGCCTGGAGAACTCTTACAGTACCATTCTGCATGACAGCAAGCCAAATGCTCAGCTCGACACTGTTGAAAGGGAACATTTCCCTCCTGCTCCCAGCTATTTGCTTTTGGACATATCTCATGCTGTCACCAGTAAGTGTTGGACTCCTCTGTGTGCTGCTCTATCTTGCTACGGCAGTAGAAAACAAACCCAGTAAGCAAATAAGGAGTCCAGTATGGATGGTTTTCTATTGCATTGGGTAATTAAGCATCTTGAGGAAGGATCTGACAGTCATCAGCACTGGCAGACAAGGGAACGGACTGGAAAGTATAACAGGCAATAGCGAAGTCGGCACTCTCCCTTTGGGTGGCAAGGAACCATTGCCAGTCTAAAGCTGGCTTTGCCACTAACTTATCATGTGGCGTTGGTCATATCCCTTAACCACGGCTTATTTATCCACTTGAAAATGAGCACAGTTGTCACCTTCCTCACAAAGATGTGGTGAGAGCTGAAGTTCAGAGCTGCCACTGAACACGAAAAAGATAAATTATTATTACTGCATTTTCATATGCCTAACATATGACTGTCTGGAAAAAAAGTAACAACAAACCCAAAACTAAAGCTGTGATTTCGCCAAAGTCAAGGATACAGACGTGTGCGGGTGGGGACATACGGGACAGTTTTTAAAGAAGTAAAAAGGTAAAAGTGAATGGGAAAAATTACATTCTGTCATGACTGAGTTCCAAGTTCAATCAAATGGAAATCAGCTGTGTATTTATAATGGAGAAATAGTGCCTAAATCTTACCGCTAAACAAGCCAGTGTTGAAAGCTGAACACCTCTCTCTTTTGCGTCTCCCACATCCCTCTGAAACAGGGGCTTGTTCATAGCAAGCTCATTCATTGCTCCTCAGAGAACTACTTGGACAGCTGAATCACTCACAAGCTGAAGCTGCAGTTGATCCGAGTACTTATTTTCAAGAAAAAGTGTTTTTTCAAGAGGTGCAAAATACAGCATTTATTATTTGCATTATGCTAGCTTTCATCTAGCAACTGAAAACAGCAATAATATCTCATTACCGTAAGGGCAGAAGGTAATACTCCCTCAAATATCTTACAACGCTCAGATTCTGCAGATGTCTAAACACATGCTTACAAAGAGTAAGTCAGGATAAGCAATAATAAATTTACCTCTCAATTTGAAAGCCTTTCCTATCTGTCTGTCTATCGGTGATGGTTTCTAGAGACTGTGCATGATCAATCCTCAGAGTATTTTAAGCAGGTAATAAAAATGGGGGACCAAAAGAAGAAGTGGGAGTACCAGTACCATGGACCAGTGATTACACTGCATTTACCTAAAACCTACTGAACTTGAATGAAGTCTGCCAATTGACTTTGGTATACTCAGAATCTCAGTTGCAAGGCCTCATCTAAGTGATGCATATGCGATATCAGCAAACAACTGCTTTTGAAATTAATGGAGCACAGGCATTCCAATACCCTATATAACATTACCTTTGTATTGCACTGTTTCTAAAATATATCAATAAATGATTGAATAGATGCCTACACATCAGCAAAACCCACTAACTCTTTGCTTAGATACTGTCATGTATTACAGAAGTCAGAAAACAGTTTTACTGCAGGCTGTGCACAGACATTTAATAGATCTCTCTTTGTAAAGAAAAGAAATTATTTTAAAAGTAAACTTTTTCATGTGTAGGCAAGATGTAACATCTCTACTGAACTTGTCCCAACTAGTATTGGACATTTCATGTATTTTGCATGTATTAGGATGTCTAACTTTGTTTTATGAGGCTACAATATCAATTTTAAATAAATAAATAGATAACACTGCACTGTTAACCCAGTAACATATATACATACCTGATAAGTAACACTCTTCCTTCCATCATCATTTGTTTGAGGCAAGGTCAGAGGTCCAGAAACTACCCAAACATCCTCAAACCTCTCGGTCAATTCCCGACAATACATTTCCATTCTGGAACATATTTGTCAGATAGGGTAAAGTCAGCTGGCAAAACTTAACATAATAATTTTTGAAACACACTGTGAAGGGCAAGATGAACTACTGACAGTTTGGGAGCATTTTTCCAAACTCATATGACCGACTCACAAGCTAAAGAAGGTAAAACAGGCCCAAGTCATACTTCCCACTTGTCCCAGGTTCACTTCTTTACAGATAGGCATGTGTTATCGCACACATTTGAAAATAGCCTTACCACCTGGCCTGAAAATCTGAGTTCTCCACTTACTCCCACACTTGACACTAGAAAGATACTGTTGATGGTCACTTGGGATTAGTAAAATACTTGTTTTAAACAGCAGGTTGTGGCGTTCTTACTTCAAAGGGTTTTACCACATTACTGGGTTTGTATGTTCCTCCCGAAGGAATCAATGTCCTGCAAGAGACAGCTCTTTCCATAGCTCAGAGTACTTAAGAAAGTTTCTACATGCCATTCCCACTAAGTCTACTTGTTGTTTTTATATATAGAAGTTTTAAAATAAAGTAGTAACTCCAGAAACACTAATGTTATTTTTGCTTTTTAAACTAATTGATTCAGTTTACAGCATAAAATATTTTTCCAAATAAGAAAGTTTCTGGATCATGCCTATTTTACATAAAACAAAAGATTATAGCCCATCTTTGATCTAACACCCCAAGTGTTACAGAAATGTCATACAGTGAGCACCCACTGGTCCTTTACCAAAGATAGAGTTGCACTTCACTCAAATAGACAAACAGACCAGAACACAAGACAGATGAGCCCAGCTCATCTGGCTGCCTCTGAAAGGGGGAGGTTTCACCCCCTTCTCTGTCTCTGTTCCTCATACCTCTCCCTTGGGCCACCTTTAGCACTCTTCATCTGTCAATAACCCTGAACAAAACCAGTCTTTTTTTTTGTGCTGGGTTAGTGAGTTAAATCAGCTCACACAAATC